TGCAGCTTAGACACTTGCAGAATGGGGCTTGTGGCGTCAATGCGTTGTTCTCTAAGAGCCAACGAGACAATGAGTAACTTTGTTGTAGGCATCTGCAGTAGCGCTTTGTAACTGGTTGGTGGGATCCAGTATGTGGAGGATGGAGATACTGTGTGAGGATGGCCAGATTTCATTGGTTTAGAATACATGTCCCGGTACATAGAATTACATCACTTAAATGATCAGCAGATAAAATGAGTAGCAAATTAAAATGAGTAAAGATTACATCTTCCCAAATTGTCAAGTTCCTAAGTTGGGGAGGTTAATTTGGTTTATGTTATATATTCTTGGGAACTATAGTCCTTGGGAACTATAACCTTTTTGTGGAGAGCTAGAATTTTTTTTAATGTCTTTTAAATGTCTATTTTATATTGTCTTCCCATTTTTCTTTTCTTGAAAAACATTAATACTCCTTAAGTTTAGGCCCCAAAAAATCTGATTAGGTGATTGAAAGGCATGAGTCACCGGTTGACTTTTGTTTTTACTTACTACATAAAAGCTTAAGTATCAGGTGAGTTTTTTGACTACTGATTTTAAAAAGTGGTTTAATGTAGGTGGCAGAATGCAAGCAATTCTTTTTTGTGCTCCTGGTGAGCAAAGTGTATTTCCAATTGATCTGCTTGAACTCGTATGTGGGATATCAGACAAACGCTTTTTGACTTGGTGTTGCCAGACAACTAACACCTTCTTCTCTTTGTTGGATATCTACACTTAAATCCGCTTTGAGATTAATTGCCTTGTGATTTGTACCTGAACCCTGAGGCACTTGCCTTCTTGTTGTGATATTTCACATTATTTATTGTCCTTTGCTATTAAAACAGAAAATAGATCTCCTACCTCTTGTGCTTGAAAATCACTGCCACTTATTTTGTATCTCACCCTTAACTAACTTAAACATCTGTTCCTAATTTTATTGAGGTTGGGATATTGTTTAAATAATTGGAGTTTAAAAATCATCTATTAGCAACCCCAAGTAATATCACGGGGAGCACTTTAGAGTATTCATTGATGTTATTTCAGCAATTCAGAATTGTTGTGGTATCATTATTCGGAGTTTTCTTAATTTGGAAAGTGATTCGTTTTCTCTCTCCTTATCCATCAGTTCTTCTCTAGGGTGGTTTCAATGTACAGTAAAACAAGACAGGGAGATTTAGAGTAGAAGCTTGGGGAAGTTTGAATGGAGAGGTATGTATGTATGTGAAAAAGCAGATTCTCTGCAGTTGAACCTAAACCTTTTGTATGTTACAGTCACATTCCATATCCAGTGGACTGTGCAACTCAGGAATAAAATGGAGTTATGATTTCTTCCCTTGATTTATGTTTGTAAGGTGGGGGGACATTCTGGTCTAGTAGGATCCAGAGATTTCAGTTTAAGGAAGGTGTTCTTGATGCACAAATAGGAAGAAACTTGATATTTTACGATACTGATTCCTGGCTACCTGAATCTCCTGTAGCATATTGTCTTGTATAAAAGAAGTGTGATACTTCTTAATCATGTAAAAGTACTGTCATTGGAGTGTGTCACTTTATAGTACTGTAATTCATGCTGTGATTATGATGGCATCAGTTATTCAACTAGAAGGTGTTGGAGGTACATTTGTTTTTAAAAGGAGATGCAGAATACTTTTCAGACTAGTTTGATACATAGATTTTGGTTTCTGCTCGTCTTTGCGCGTAAGTGGAAATGATTCTATCTCCTTCATTGGTATTGCTGTGTTAGTGTAATAGATCATGAGCTGCTGTTTTTTGATATGTACTGTGAAGTAAAACTAGTTAGACATCAACCATTTAAGCTACTGGCATAGTAAGTATTACGAGTTAACTTCTGGCAGTCAGTTTATTGTCTTTCTATGGTATATGTACAAAATTAACACCTTGTTCTGAATAAAATTCGGTTTGGCAACACAGCAACTAAATAGCATAAACGTTGGGGGAGGACCTTTTACAAATGCTGAACTTTTTTTCTGTTTGATAGTAGTTTCTTTGCATTCCTTATGTAATAAACACAAGCACAGCAAAGTAATACAGGAAATATTTATTACTATGAAAGCATGTGTGTTATTGCATTTGAGATTCTCCAAGGACAGTTCATGCTACAAGGACAAATTTAAAGGCTATTGCACTCTGAAGGTCAACACCAAAACTATTACCAGCCAGATAACTTTTGTTCCTTGAAAATTTATTTTTAACATGATTTATTCCATCAGTTTTGTATTCATAATTAATGTTAATGTCTTTAGCTTGTAGCAGGAAAAAATGGATGAGGAAATGAATTTTATTAACTACATTATATGGTGATACAGGAATGAACATCTACAACTGTGTTCTTGAAGTACTTACAAAGTTTCGTTTATTTAGTTTCATGGTTGATTCAACCAGATGAAAATTTTTGCTGTTGCCATCAGGAATGGTAACGAATTCCCCCTGTCTTGCCCTAGTACCGGCACTTCTATTTAGGTAGCTACAGGCTAAGCTGAATCAGACTTACCTGGCTGACAACTAGTACAGGCAGAAAAATAAATAAATACAAAACAATTTTCTACTGGGTTAGTTTTGGACTGACAGTGATAGATACCAGTTTCCAGACTTTTATGAATAAGTCTCTCAAACCCTTTGAAAGGAAGTACATTTCTCAAGATAAAACTTGGTTGGGACATGGAGAAAATGAGCTGCAGTCACACTGCAGTCTTGATATTTGTGTAGAAAGTGTTCCTCAACTGGAATCACTGCTCTATGCTATAAAGGAGACCTTATTGTGGCCTTCCAGTATCTGAAGGGTGCCTACAAGAAAGCTGATGAGGGACTTTTTAGGATGTCAGGTAGTGGTAGGACTAGAAGAAATGGGTATAAACTAGAGTTGGATCGATTCAGATTGGACGTTAGGAAGAACTTCTTCCCCATGAGGGTGGTGAGACACTGGCACAGGTTGCCCAGAGAGGGGCTGGAAGCCCCATCCCTGGAAGTTTTTAAGGCCAGGCTGGATGGGGCTCTGGGGAGCCTGATCTAGTGGGGGATGTCCCTGCTCGTGGTGGGGGGGTTTGAACTAGACGATCTTTAAGGTCTCTTCCAACCTTGACAATTCTGTGACCCTAAAGCAGTGTGATCTTGCTGTGGGTGGCTAGCAAAAGTAGATCTAGAAAACCAATGAGTAAGAGCATTAACAAACTTACGTATGTAAAACTTAGGTGATTTATCATTGTATTTCACTCTCCTGTATGTTTGCAATTGATACAGTGGTTAGTGGAGTTAGTGCAGCCAAAGAGCCTTTGTGTTTCCAAAGTGCATACTTCCCTTCACACTTGTTATAAAGGAATTTATCCTTTGAAGCGTTCGGAGGATTTTGTGGGTTGCTTACTAGGCTGATACACATTAGTTCTAAAATTTGACTGTTGATTGCTGTAGTAATGGATGTAATAGGTTTAATTAATGACAGCAGATGGGTGTATCTTCCTCTTTTTCTGTCTTGTCTCTGACAGTATATGGATATCACCATTTAAGCCTAGCTACTCTTCTCTCTTATTTAATGGCTTCCAAAATGTTAATAAATATTATAAACCAAACTTATTTGGCATCTTTTATTGTTGTCTCCATGTGTACAGACACTGCAGCAAAAGGGATGCAACATGATGGCTGGATTTTTTGGCTCTGTAGACCAAATATTATGTACGACCCAGGTCCTATACCTCCACATTTTTTTCTCTTTTTTTTTTTGGCAGCCCTTCCACCATTTCTTCTGTGCTTGCCAAAAACAGTCTGGGCTAAAGTACATGAGTCATGCTCCATATCAATTCTTTTTCCTTCTACATCTGACAGTTTTGCCTCTTGACCATTTCCAAGGCTTTTTGTGCACCTCTTCTGTATTTCCTGTGTTTCAAGATTTACATTTGGATTGAAATCTGATCCCTGACACTGTTTTGCAAAAAGAGCAGGAGGGAAACTGGGTTGTTCTGGTGGGAGGTGCAGTCCTCACCCCTAAGCATTTGCAGAGCATTTTCAGGAGTGTTTTTTCTTATGCTTTTCTCCTATTATGCAAGTGTATAAACAATTAGTTTAAAAGGCTCAAGTCTAATTAGACTATAATCTCTAACACTTGTAAGGATGGGATTTCTTAGCTTAAAAATAAGTAAATAGAGAAGGAATATTGCTATTTCTGTTCTCAGTTAAATAATACATTCAGTATTGTTCCCATGTGGAAACAGTGCTGCATCCTATATTACCTGTGGTAATTCTGAAGTAGTTGATACCCCTTGGGAGTGCTGTAAGAGCGGTGATGAAGCTGGTTGGATGAAGTTAATTGTACACTTTGTACATGCACAGTGTTACTGCTTTGGATTGTGAATCTTGGACTTGCATGTTTGTGGAAATCCTTGTTTTGTTCTGTATGCTATCTAATGTTTTTTTTTCACAAAAGACATATGTTTGGGGTTTTTGACTCACAGGTAGCTTAACAGCTGTTTTGAGCATAGATTAACCTGTGTCATTGAATACTTGAAAAGCTGACTTCTCAACAGAGGAGGTTTTCAACCTTAATTTTTGGATCTGCTGTGCATACGTTTTCTTTATTACAGCTTTTGCAATTGCAGTATTTTTTAATTTCATTTTAAAATTGAAAACTACAAGATTGTAATATGTCCTTATTTAGTAGGGCTTAATTTGGAAGAAGTCTTGAAAGCATGTGGTATAGATGACATTCTGTTCTTGCTCCAAATGTATGATAATAAAATTGTTGCAAAGAACCGTTGGTTTTTTTTTTGTTGAGGAAAATATTAATGAATCAAATAAGTATTTAGGAATTTATATTTGATTTTTTTTCTTTAAATGTTTTTCTTTCATTGAAAACCACCAGTGAATGGTATGTGGAATATTGTCCTAAATAACTTCACATACTACAATTTTGAGTATAATAAATTAAATTTGAAGCATGGCTGACTTGAAATTTGTCTTAAATTTTGCTTTAAAAGGCACAGAAGATGAAACAAGCTCAGTAATGCAATATCCTACACAGTTCATTAATCAGGATCCTTATTTGCATCAAGATGATGACCAGCAACAAGGATGGGTTTCTTGGGCTTGGTCTTTTGTTCCTGCTATTGTGAGTTACGATGATGAAGAGAATGATTCTAGTGGAACTGATGATGGAGCGACGCTACATCAGCAGAAATCTCAGTCCCTCAAGGATCCTGTTATTTCAATTGGGTTTTACTGTACAAAGGCAACAGTGACTTTTAAGGTAAGTATTTCCTTGTGCTGATTAAGATTTATTTGACTTGTGCAAAGATTATCTGAGTGCTTGTATACTGTTTGATTTGAGGCAGGGAGTATTACATTAATGACTAACAAAAAATGTGAATGTTGAAAGTTCCTCTCACATCATAATGTGTTGTTAATTGCAGTGTGAGGTTTTTTTGCCATTTGAACTAGAAACTTGGAGGTGCATGTTTTCATCTTAAATGGAAACCGCTTAATTTACTTCAGTGTTTTTTGATGGGAGAAAAAGCTTACAAGGTTTTAAATGAGTGTTTATTTCAGTATTCTGTCCATCTAATATTTACATAAATACATTTAATAGTAAAAATGCTTTAGATTCATATAGCTTGTGAAGTGGTGGAATGCTATTTTCTTTTATTAGACTATGATATGTCCAAATATGAATTTAAATTGATAATGTTGAAAATATTTTCCATAAGTTTGAATTGAAGAAACAAAAGATAAATTGTACATATAATCTGAGTTATAGACTATGTAGGTACAGAAAGATTTGAGTATTTTCTGTAAACAAATCTCAAAATAGTTCATAGGTTTCTCTCTATTCCTATTGTAAGCTTGCCGGAGGGAATATGGAGACTGAATAAGATAGACATCGCACACAGAATCACACAGAGAATTGTTGAGGCTGAAAAGACCTCTGAGGTCATCAAGTCCAACCTATGACCCAACATGACCACATCGGCCAGACCACGGCACTAAGTGCCACATCCAGCCTCTCCTTAAACACTTCCAGGGACGGTGACTCCCCCACTTCCCTGGGCAGTGCATCCCAGTGCCTGAGCACCCTCTCCATGAGGAAGGGCTTCCTGAGATCCAACCTAAACCTGCCCTGACGCAGTTTCAGACCATGTCCTAGTAGCCCGGGAGAAGAGCCTGACCCTCACCTGAC